CACCGCCAGCTAAGACTTGATCATTAGTGAATGTGTCGCTATCATGACCGTCCTGATAGTACTACTCTACTGCTGGTCCTTTGTTGGCATTCTCCTCAGGGCAACTCCCTTTTCCTGCCCTCTCCTGCCGCCTGTCTCTCTGCTAGAGCACGTAGATGCAGGAAAACTGAAGATGTGAGTATTAGAAAATTGTTAGGGTGGCTTTTCTAATTGAATTTGGCTCTTTCACAAGGCACGCACTTGATGTGATTATTTCAGGGCGAAATTACACCAATAAAAGGAGATTCAGCTGATTGCTTGTCATAACAACCTAGTTTCGGTGGCTGGCTGAACTCTTCTGACAAAGTGATGGCAGGCTACAAGTCGGTGTTATTTTCCCTAACATCACTGAATCTCTGTGAGAGCTGCTGGATCAGGAAGTGAAGTCCTTCAAAGCTGTTCTGCTCAACATGTTTCAGCCTGACCGTGATGTGCTTCACCATCTGACATTTGAAGATAACCACAGAGTAAGTGGCTGGCCGGAGTGTGCTTTTTTTTTTCCTTTTTCCCAAACAGAGAGCACTCAGCCTCACTCATGATGGATGCCGAATGGCTCGTCATGTGCAAAGAAGGAGATAATAGAAGCTGAGAAGTCAGGCACTCAGGCCTGCTGATAACATGGTGCAGACTGTCAGTCACACAGCACAGTGGACAAAGCGTAGGTTGTACCATTTTGATTGCCTGCTTGATATCTGATATCTGGTGTTCTACCGACATCTTTCTCTCACAGTTGACTGGCCAAGAAATGGAATGTTACCCAATATTGTTTTTTCTGCCTCTGTAATTGCATCAACTCTCTGGTGTGAGGTGGCTATTACAGTGGCAGGCGAGTTTGATATCTGTCATTCAGTAGTCACACTGCACATCACCCATGAACAGAAGTGACATCAAGGTTAGTTTGTAAGCCATCCGGTAAACTGACCCGGGCTACACGCACAAAAATGTCAATAAAAGCAGAGACAGCTGTGCAGTGTTCAGAGACCCTGCAATACCCTGCTGGGTTTTGGTCACTAAATGTCCATTATTATCTCAGCATCTTCCCTTCCAGCCTCCACCGTGTCTGAAGCTCTGAGATCATTGTGCTTCCTCTTCCTCAGGCAATGCAGTTGAAGATGAGTTATCCATTATTTTGCCTGTCAAAAATGACAGGAAACAGCTGAAAAGCATGTGGACTCATTGGCTGTTTATCTTTGCTGGAAATGTCTTCTAGGATTTGAGCAGGATTTTATTATGTATCTTGGCAGATGCTACCCCGTATGATCAACTTTTGGATCAGACAGCAAAGCAAGAGCTGCACCTCTTAATGAAAATCAAGTGGCTGCTCTGCAGTCTGCTCTGCTGGGGAAACTGGTATATGTGTCTATTCTGCATTGGTAAATGTTGGACACAATGTCCAGAAAGGAGCTCTTCATCCTAAATGTTTTTGCCTGGAACCAAAACCTGATGTTTACTGTGAATCTTTCAGGCCGTTCTCATGCGCTGTCTGTACATATACCTATGAAAAGTAAAGCACCACAATTCATATAACCAACATAATCATGAGGCAGTAACTAGTGTATAACCCATATAATTGAGATGGCTGTGATCACATGACCGATACTATGACAGGAGTAAGAAGGAAGTAGTAGTAGAGACCAAAAGTCTGTGTAAGAAGGGAGGTCAGGTGGTGGATGGGTTAAACAACACAAGACTTTCCTCCAGGAGACCAACTTAAAGTTATTTTAAGGTATGTTGTTACCATGTTTCTTTTCCTAACCCTGACCTACGTAACTTAACGTTCAAATTTGTAATGTCATTTGTGGGACGCTAATTCATTAGATATCATACGAACTGTTGTATTAGGATATGTTGAAAGTTTACATGACTAAAGACTGTTCTCCTATTAGCATAACTGTACTGAATATACCTTGACGTGTTGCTAAGTAGTTATCTGCTGGAATTAAAAAATGACACCGCCTAAGCTGAACTGAAAACAGCCCTTATTTTTGAGACAGCATACAGTTTTTCTGGGTGGAGTTTTCCTCTGAAGCAGCCAGCAGTCATATAACTGTGAAGTACCAATGTGACTGTATTCACAGCCCATTTAGGATTGAAAATATGTGGTTTAACGAGACAGAAAAAACAGTAGAGACAAACGGTCCGAAATAAAGTGTCAAAGGTTTCAAAGGAAATCTGACAGCTTATTTTTTCAAAGGACTGCACTCCCAGCGGTTTGGAGCTTTTATGTGCTGGATCTCACACTCTCTGCCTCTTCTTCAGGTTCCCAACCCAATGTAAAGCGCATACTGAAGCAAAATGGCAAATATATGGTTGCTGGTCAATCCACAGCTTTGTTCTCTATCCTCCAGAGACACTTACAGTGAAAGACTTGAGAGGAGCTGAGCACTTTTTCTTGAGCAGTTGTCGGCTGTCTACTGGCAACTGGCGCTTGGAGATTTCCCCGGCGACACATATTCAGTTTGAAAGGACGCGTTTATACCACACATACGCCACTCCAAACTTCAAACAAGAAAAGGCAGTGGTGTTTTACAATTACTTTCAGCGTATTCACTATGAAATTATTTTCACTGCTGAAATGTGTGATAGAGGGATAGCTGCCCAAAGTAAAAGCCTGCATAGTTTGATAAGAAAACCAGATACATAAGAATGAATTTACTGGGTGGTGCTTATACTTCTTTGGGCAAGAGTTTCTGATTTCCTTCATAGAAAAAAAAGAGAGTTTCCTTTCTGAAATCTTGTCAGATGCTCCCTTGGGTTTTCACAAGCATCCTCTTACTTGGAAGACAACTGAACAAAACAAAATTTCAAAGCAGACAGCTTGTAGAGTGGTATCATAGGGATTTAGAGGTGTGTTGTCGTCGAGCCAAAGTATTCAAACAGTCATCCTTCCCGCTGCTTATTGATGGGCTCGCACCAGGGTGTCGCTGAGTCAGGAAGACACCTGCCCTCAGCCACGGCAATCTGTAATCATGATCAAAGCTCAGATCTGTCAGCTGGGAGCCTGGTAGTGTCTTTGCTGCTGTTTTGAGCATGCTCTTCTACCCTTGGCAAGCCCTGCAGGCAGTTGCACAGGAGGTTAGTGGTAGACGTGCGGACAGTACAGGGTGGAGACGTGTGTAGGCACCAGGCCCAGGCTTGTGACTGGGGCATCTGCAGGACTTATTGATTTGTGAAAAAGATATACGTTCTCTCCTGAGCTACCGACAGACAACTATTTGGCACCTAATACTGAGCAACTCTCTGCTGCCTGGCTGTTTACTCTGGATGTGTTTCTCCTTACACCTTTTTTTTGTAGAAATTTTGATATTCTTCACATACAGCACTTAATATGCAGCCTGACATGCAGCCATTGACCTTCTGAGCTTATCTTCTGTCTTAAAGGTATACTACGCAGGAAGTGTCAGGTATTGTTCATGAACACATCATTCGGACTTGGCCCCTCCTCCCTACACTGCTTGTTTGTATGGTGCATTCTATTTAAACTGGGAAGTTGGATTTTTGAGTCCCCATTCGAACTCAGAAAATCAGGAGAACTTCACCAAGCCTGCCCTCAGAATCCAAGATGGCTGCTCTGAGCATCAGTAGCAGTGAAAGCTGTAGTGATAGTAAAAGTAAAAGCCAACCCCAGACTCAGTCTCATTTTGGAATGAGGCTACATGCCCAGAAATGTTCCAAACATAGCAAAATAAGAGGAAAATAAGAAAATACAGGCAGGGGGCAGAGTGTCTGTAGATAAATGCGAAGCCACACACTTCTAACAGGCCGTAAGTGATGATTGATTATTATTGTATGGGTCTATACATTGGTTTTTTTGGTTTGTTTGTTTTTTTTAGGCAAAAGTGTGCAAAATGATTGATCCTACACTGTGCATTGAGCAATTAAGGAACCCCACCTAGCACTCTGGTTAAACATTTCATCCTCAAATATCCTCCTCTGTCTCACTGCTTTGTGGTAATTACCCTGTGTTAGACCTTGAGCTTGCAAAGTAACACCTAACCAAGGGCAACTTGTCATGTGCAGAGCAGGACTGTGATTCATTGGCATGTACGCTATATGGCTGGCAATATATCTTCAAGAAACATTAATAGGTGGGGGTGGTGAGGTGAATATGGGGGAAATGGGTTGCTGTCGCTTGAGTGGCTGCTAATACGGTCTCCCAGTGATAACACGAAACAATTGGAAGGACGATCTGTTATTATTATGTTCTAATGGCCTGAACAATACTAATGAAAGGCTGTACATAGGTTCTCCATGATCAGTATTAATATGTGTAGGGGTGCAACTCATTTCCTTGAGCCCAAGGTTAAGCCCTCAAACTGTTTGTTTTGTCTAACCAGCAGTTCACTACCAGTAGATATTCAATTCACTATGAAAAAAAGTGGCAAATCCTCTCATCTACATCAACAGCTGGAACTGTAAATATATAGGCTATTTTTGCTTAATAAATGACTTAAATAGTTATATTTTCATTTTATGTGGATTGAATAATTGATTATTTGACCAATTTTTCAGTAATGGATATGGTTATCATTTACAATATTTTATAAAAAGTTTATAAACATCTCAAACACTGTTCATGTGTTTGCTGCTCCACTTTTGAAGTAAAGTAAAGAGAAACACTCTACCCTCTCTCTCCACCATCCCATTGCTTTCTGCTGTGGCATGTCAACTGTGATCCAGACCTAATCTACCAGCCCAATAGTGAGGTCCCTGCAGGGAGCCCGGGGGCCCCAGGCCCAGCACCATTGCCTCATCTGTCTTCAAGACAAGCTACAGGCCGGGGCCAACCTAGTGCCTGTCCTGTCGTGCTTGCATATGCAGAGCTAGGATAGGATGCTGAACCCTGAAGGCTTCATCTGGTCACCAGGTGGGCACGGGAGCAGTGGCCTGTCTCTTCCCCCACACTCTGTCTATGAGCGTGGAAATGAAAATCATTGAAGACGGCCCTTTTTTCCCCGCAGGGTGCTTCCAGCGTCCTCAGAGGCAACGAGCAGCCGTGACCATGCTCCCACTCAGAGGTGACGGTGAGCAAATAGCCTGGGAAGTTAGTATCACTAGCTGTGCTGTTTGTGCAATTTCCTGTTTTCACTTCGAGTTCCATTTTGTTTTGGAAGCTGCTCACATATCACGCATAAATGTTTGCTGAAACAACATTTCATATTTTTGTTTTCTTCCTGTTGTAAATTTCAGTCGTAGCTATGTCACGTAGCCAGATTAGAGCAAACAATCAGACTTGCAGTTATGCAAACACATGCACATGGTGCAGAGGCAGCCAAAGACACCCCCATCAGTGTGTTTGTTCTCAATTACGCTAAGATTTTAGGAAGACAAAGAGCTGTTTGCAAGTCATTTGTGTGCCTTTTCTGCTTGTTTTGTCACACAGTGCATCCATCTGACTTTAGTTGAAGGCTTCACAGTCTGTTATAGCAGCATTGTGTGAATCTTTAGAAGTCATCATTTGCTTGGAGTTTACTCACATTCAAATCAAACAGTTCATTTTTAATTTGAAACTGGATTTTTGTTGTTTTATTATCAACTAGAAACCAAACTTCAAGCATCAGTTGATACAGAAAATGAAATGAAAACAGCTGAATACAATCTTAGTGATGTTTTGCACACACTGTCTATAGTTCAACATTCGACATTTAAGCTTGGTCAGACAGACGGCCGGCCCTATGGTGAGTTATTTACTCTGGCAAGTACACTCAGAAAGTCTTGCAGTTGTGGCAATGTGAATGACATGTTGCCCCTGACAGAGCTGCTGGAGGCCGAGCTCCTTGTTTGTTCCTTTCTAGAGGAAGTCAAATACAGCTTCAAAAAACTTTAACTTAAAAATGTGGAGAATGAGACAAACGACCTGATTGAGCTAGTGCCAGATGCCGATTAATCATCAGATCAGAAATTTTTAAAGTTTTTTTTTTTCCAGCAGAAAAATAACCCATGAAATGAGGCATTTGAGATAGCAGCTCATCTTTAACCGTCCCTTCCCTCATTTCACCCACTTCTCTCTGCACCAGCACACTGGGTAAAGAATACATTAGAGGGTAATGAAATAAGGGCATTTAAAGAAAGATCTGAATTGAGTGTCAGTCATGGGTAGACGATCACATTACCAGTTGTCCGTTGCAATGACTTTCCTTCCTATTAAGAGGTATTATGATCTCCTCTAAAATGTAATTATAGAAGCAATGGGCTCATGTCTGTGCTGCTGAAATGTTCAGGAATATACTGAGATTTTTATTTTGCCATTCTTCCTCTTCTTGTTGGTGCCTGCATTTCAGTATTTGGAGGCTTCATTAGATCGAAAAATCGTCTTTTGGCAGCTCGGCTATCCTGCCCTACATTTCCTGCTGACTGCATTAACATGAAATAAAAAAAAATTGCCTCCTACACTTGCTCCATTTGTAGGTACAAATCCTTGGAAGCCCTGCTCATCTTTATATTGAGGTAAAGAGGACATGGAAGTCAGAGGGTAAAGATGGTTTTTAATCAGCATCTTCCTCCTCTGCGCCCCAAACCCCAGCTCTGTTACCTCTGCTCTTTCCCCCTCCCTTTCAGGGGCTGCTGAAGGTTGATGGGAGCTGAAGCAGGGGGAGGGTTGAGGAAGGAAAGGGGCTCTGGAGGCCGAGCGTGGAATCTTTGCATACCACCAGAGAAAGTGGGAGGGATTTTTACACCTCCACAGGCTCCAGACCCCCCCCCCAGCCAGCATCATAAACTGTGTAGCAGCAGCTGGTGTCAGAAAAAAAAGACGGAAAGGCGAGCGACACCCTGCTATCTCACTTACCATCTCCTTTAAATAAAGGCTAGTAAGCAGAGTGGGGGGAGATTACACAGAAGAGCGGAAGATGTGGCACCCATCCCTACAACGAATCACCAGATGGAGCAGATCTAAATCAAGTTCCCCCTGCTATAAATACAATGGAAAACAGGCAGACACAGGGAATAATAAGCGGCAGCATATGCCGTGGTCAACCTCTGTGGGTAGAAAGAAGTGCTATTCCTCCGTGCTTCGCATTTCTCCTCTGAATTCATCCATGAAGGCGCTCAGTTTAGCACGCACCACAGCAGAAGCCCTGGCAGCAGGACATGCCACTCAGACTAGTGGCCCTATTTTCATGTTTTCTCAGCTGAAGAAAAAACAAGTTGCATCCAATGAAAATTAAATTATGTGATAAAACGCTGCATTCACCTTTATGGTCCGGAGACTGCTCGATATTACAAGAGACTGTAGTTCTGTAATTGAATGTTGAACAAGGGGCCAGTTGGGTTAAAAGCTGCTGTGGTCGTTTTTTTCCCCCTTCTATCGGGTATCATAATCTCTGGATGGGTGGATGAGGGTTTACTTTGTTGGCCCACAAGGATCAATTAAGCCATCAGGAGGGAGACACAGTAATAAGACATGTAATGGAAGGCCCCAGTTCCTTGGGGAGCAGTGTTAAATTCATCACCGCCTCTTGTTCACACATTTATCACTGGCACATTACAACTTGTAATCATTCACAGATGTCAGGGGTGGTGCTGACTCTCTGTCACTCCTCATGTGATGACACTGGTATCAGTTGCATCAGTAGGTAATTGATTAGAATGGTTTAACATAAAATGTTATCTTTGGTTCATAGGTAGAAAGGTTTTCATCAGAAAATGGGTCACCATTCAGTTTTCTTACATGATGCCTGTGCAGAGGAAAGATATAGTCGTAACACCCTCCCACTCAACACATGAAGTGTGATTCTACCAATGCTTTATCCTAACCTGATAACACATCATCCATGTGTCTGTCTGCCACCACAGTTTGGGTAAATCGATTCACAGCTTTCTCTCCAGTTTCAGTTTCACACTTCCTCCTGCTACAGGTTGGTTTCATTCTAACACCTCTGCTGCCAAAATGGGGGAAAAAAGCTATTTTTCCAAATAAACCAAAGGGCAAAAACATTAACTAAGGTGCTTGAGACTTGTTTTCCTCCCAACCAATCGCAATGCAGCCCATCTCCCAAGCCGAGGAGCTGATGGGAGCGTACATGGTGTATTGCCAAGGTGAAGTGCAACAACAGTTTCAGTGCAGCGTGTACTGACCAAAATACTGCTGCACTGCACCTTGTAATTTCTGCTTTTTGGAATAAAATGGTTCGCTAACACAGCCAACCCACAAATTTCTCTCATTTTGGTCTGGCAAGAATTTCAACCACACTACACAGCAGTTGACTGACAGTGCTCTCCGTCACTCATGCATTATTATGAACCCGTCCTGCACCTGACTGCATGAACACACCTGTTACTTGGCTGTCAGTAACTTTCCATCTGATTTCTAAATCAACTTCAAATTAACAGCTATTGTCAGCACTGTCAACATCCTCATAAATTATCCAGCAAAACCAGTCAGAAATGAGCTGTCCAGTTACAGAATCACACTTGATTTTACATCCACAACACCAAGTGGAAGTAGTTATTCACTAGGTTTTTGGAGTGTCGAGAGTTTTGACTCATGTCATCATTTAAACTGCTCCCCACAGTTCAGTGATTGGTTTGCCAGCTATCAGGCTCAGTCCATTCTCTATGGATGTTTTCTGAGTTTACAAGCTGGATGGTGGAGCAAGGACGAGGATTTTGGGGGCTAATAGCCTTCCAGACAAACTCCCTCCTCTACTCAACTACCTCCTGACAAACCAACTATTTTTAATGATGACCTCATGATGCACAAAGCAGTGTAAGCAAGAACTTTAGTTTCTCCTTTCTCTGCCCATGTTTCGGTAATAAAAAAGCAGATATAATGAAAATTAGAGTACAGTTTCATGAGACCTTCAATTTTATGCAGTGAGTTTGCACATTTTCTACAGCTTACTTGTATCATTTGAGAAGAGTGAGGAGTCTGAATTGCCTGCCTTATCTCAAATAAGATGCACTGATTTTCAAAGAGGCTCTTACCTGAAAACTTTCCTGAGGCAGCAGACGTGTGCACCACTTGTTATCCAGGGAGCCTATATACATTGCAGTCTGTTCTACTAATTGCTCTGCTGTCTTGCTGTGCTCCAATTGTATATGAGTTGGTTTGTATGAGTATTTTCTATATACACTAATGACCCTCTGTAAGTGGTGTATTGGAACCCTCAAAGAAAACACGGATAACGGAGATGTTGTGAGATTCCTACAGAGCACTGCCTGCCTAGTTGGCCTTGCCATATGGTGTTGGTGAAGGAGCCAGCGCCTGGGGAGAATGCAACCGTATGGTGGCAGGAAATACACAGACGCAGCAGTATGGCAAAACAAGACAGAAGAGGGATGCAAGTCTCCTTGCTGCAGTGCAAAAACAACAGAACGTACAGTACATGTGGTGTGGTAAAAACAAATGAATGAGAGGAGAAGAATGGAAAGGGTCAAAAATGACCTTCAGACTAAATTACAAGGTGCACAGGGATTCATTTGTTCTCTGCACGGCCATAAAGACTAATGTCTTTTAATACATCACTCTGCATCTCATCTCTCTCTTGCTTCCTATCCCATTAAACATGGTAACAAAAGGGCTGCGATAAAATCTGTTTTCCTCTAAAGCGCCACAAGCTTCTTGTTGAATTCAGCCATTGCCACAATCTCGTCAATGACAGCGCGAGTCGGACCTGCTGCCTTTTGACATTTTAAAGGTGTTTCTGTTCTGCTCTCTGTTACACACTTGAAAAGAATGATAGTGGGGCATTCAGAGGATTGATGAGGGACTAAAAGCCAGAGCAGAATCCAGCCCGAGGAATCTGTTAGCAGCACTGAATGGGTGGGTGAGTAGGTGGCTCTCCTGTATTTTGTGTGACCTTTTCAGAACGACTCTGAGGATTTCGGTGCCATCTGTGCCCTCCGGGTACCACTAATCCCATTGCTGCTACACTCAGCAGTAATGGTTTCCTTAAACCTTTGCAACATGCCCCTGATCACAGTCACACATACACAAGAACATACTCCTTTCTTTGTTGCTGTTTCCACTGGAATACATCTCATATATCTCCCTTTGCATTTTTACTTCTTCTTGCATTAGTGT